ACATTATTTTGTTACTTTTTCTGGTTCCTGTTATGTCTGGAAATGGTCTTATGATAATGTTTTCCAGGACACGTGGACATGACTACTGACTTATCCCAGATTTCTCAAGACAAATTTAGCTGAACGGGTCTGAGCAGATTTTTTAGTTATCAGAAGTGATCCCTGTTTTTTGTGTGTGTGGAAGAGGAAATGCAAATTAGTACAGAACTGTCCCCATCCTTTGTGGGCTCATTCCCGCATTGTGTAATTCCTGCACCACCTGAAGCAACCACAATGCCATATCCCAGCCCTTTCTTCCATGGACTGCCATGCAGCCCATGCAGGGGTTAATAGTGCAGGCTCCAAAGTCACAAGGACCCTGCCTTGTAGACTCCTCACAGGCTGACTAGTCTTGCTGAGTCTTAGCTTCCTCTGCTGTAAGTGAGGGAGGAAAATCTATACTTCCCAGAGAGGCTTTCCAGAGATTTTACTCCAAATCTACAGATTAGATGGATGAGTAAGCCAAGTCTCACAAGTCAGAACAGCTGTGAAAATCCTTTGCACACAGGGTCGGAGGACATGGGTGGTGTCCACATCCTTGTATGGTGTTGCTGTTGGAAAAACTGCCCCCAAACCAGAGTGACTGGCAACATGAATGGTTTCAAGCTTGTATTTGTCTAGCATAGGTGGGCTGCCACTTTGCACCATGTGTGGGACCCAGGCTCACAGAATCAGAATCTGGAACACTGCTGGTCCCAAAGTGGAGGGAAATGAAAGCATTGTGAGCCTCGCACTGGCTCTTAACACTTCCGGTTCAAAGGAGCACATGTCACTGCTGCTCACATTTCATTGGTCAGACCAAGTCACGTGGCCAAGCCAAGGGTCAGTGGGGCAAGGGAGGGAGTGTCAGCACATATCTTAGAACACTAATTCAGTCCACTGCAAGTGTTGTGTGTATAGACTGCATCGTGTATCTAGTCATCTACAGCATATAGTTACATTGAGGGATTGCATTTGAATGTTAAAATATCCAATTTTACTTCTCGGAAACTTTCATCAAATTGCTGCCATTGTGCTACTGCTTTTTCTTTCTTCTTATCACCTCCTTCTGTTGATAATTCTATCAGCATCTCCACCTTGTCCTTTTTGGCAGAAGAAATCCAAAGTCTGGTTGCTACCACCTGCCTGGCTACCTGTTCTTTGTGTTTTGGGTTTTGGGGGCCAACATCCGGGAGTGCGATTAGTCTTCCCACATTCTCTCCATGGTGCTTTGCCTATTTAAGGCTGTGGATGGTGTTCCTTGGAGAGGCAAGTCAGACCAGAATTGACTTCACTTTGGAGCATTTTACTTTTTTACTTTTTGGTGTGTAAGCTTGGAAGTCTGGTTTGTATGAGATTCCCCTTTGGGCGACTTATCACAGTCGGTGCTGAGTTGTGTTGTGCTCAGTTGTGTCACATTGTGGGTGCACCAGCCTGAGTCTTACTCTGGGTGCTGGTGTGCAATGGGGTGCCCCGTGCCTACGCAATGGAGCCTAGCTGCTCCTCTTATCTGAGGGCCTCCATGGTCTCACACTCAAGGACTGAAGATCTTTCTGCCTCATGAATGATGTCCATTTCCCTACAGGTTCTATTTTAGAGAATTGAATTGACAGTTGATGGTAAACAGTTCAAGTTTAGAAATACCGATTTACTGTCATCAGTGACTATAGACATAATTTATAATTTGAGTTGATTAGTACTTACTTCTCTAACTTCTGTTAACTAGAGAGTAATCGCATATGAGTGATAATTTCATGCTTTCCACCTTCTTCTAGTAATGTGCTCTCTAAAAGTGTGCTGGTCATCTTGGGTCTGCTGACCAGAGCTAGTGGTCAAGGTCAGGGCAGCCCATGGCCGTGAGGTTGGAAGACACAAGTTCTGCTGGGTCTTGACTCCCCAAATGACGACCACCTCACTTCACTCCCTTTGAACCATATTACATCTATTTTGCCTCTTTATTTTTTTCAAAAATGTTTAAATTTAAATGTAATTTTATGGGACCAGGGCTTGTTAAATGCTGAAACAGGATATGCATACAATAAAAAGACTTACTGTTTTGTAAAAGGGAACTGTCATTTGCTGTGGTGAATGTTGATTTTAATTTGCACGAAGTGGTCCAGTTTTCTAGATTGTGAAATAAGTGAGCCAACTTTCCCTCTGCACAGAAATACAACACCTCTGCCATTAACTTTGCTCTTCAGAATTCCTAATCCTTCTTCATCCTCCTTCCACTCTCTGGAGCCACTGTTCCAGAACCCGCTTGAACTCAGCCTCTTCCCTGTTTGCTTTTTCTACATCCCAGTGGTGTCTCCTTTCCCACAGTCCCCCTGGACTTGCAGTCTTCACCACTGTGTGGGGATTTGGGTGCTTTCCTCTGTGTGACACTGATTGTTGGGCATGTGCAAAAGAACTTGGTCACCTCTGAAACAGTGGGAGTAAATTCTAGAAAGGGCCACCCATGGTTCCATAAAATGCTGGAATCTTACGTAGACATGGAAGCTTTCAACTCACCCAGGTCAATGAACCTATTTTCTATACAACTAAACTGCTATTGAAAGGCCGATGTAGTTTGGTTGAGGTGGTAGAGAAAGGGTTGGAACCATCTTCTTACAGTAGAAACAGTTCAGCTGTTTCTACTACAGAGGGTTGCGTACAACTAAACTGCGATTGAAAGGCCGATGTAGTTTGGTTGAGGTGATAGAGGAAGGGTTGGAACCATCTTCTTACAGTAGAAACAGTTCAGCTGTTTCTACTACAGAGGGTTGCTACTCTCTATCACATATAAATATGATGACTTAAGGGCTGGCTGGTTAGCTCAGTTGGTTAGAGCATGTGCTGATAACACCAAGGTCCAGGGTTCAATCCCTGTACCACCAAGCAGCCCCCTGCCCTCCAAAATAAAAAAAATAATAATAATAATGATGAAATATGATGATTGATTTTTTTTTGTAAAGTCAAAGAAAGATAAAACAAGACCTTTCAAATAATGAGCGTTCAGTGCACTTTTCAATTGATGTGAAGCAAAATTTCTATCAAGGGACCTAAGATAAACAAGCTAAGTTTAGTAATGGTAAACAGCAACAATAGCAGTAGTTAGGAGAACTTCACTTTGGGGACATGCTGGTGAGGGAGGTTGCTGCTGGTGGGAGATGGTTATTCTCTGAGACTTGCAGATATGGAGCTGCTTGCAAGAGAAGATATGAGCTGACATGAGCTGGGGGAGGATGACGACATCTCTTTACGTCCCTGGCAGCTATTTTCTAAGTCCAGCGTTTTCGGCATTTTATTTTGAATGGCCACCTGGCCTTTATACTGCAGGATAGTATTGAACGACATCATCTGTCTCCTCAGTACATGAGTGATGGAGTCACTTGTAGCCCAGTGGCTGCTTAGGGATCTGGTGTTTGTCCATTTTGATAGCTACTCTCTGTTGGGAAGAGAAAAATCTATAACAACATCCCTTCTGTTCATTGAATTGCTTTGCCATCATGATGTGATTGAATTGCATTTAAAATAAGACTTGAATAGAGGTAAGAATTTTGAAGGAGAAAAATTTTTAAATTCTTGTGAAAGGAGTGTTTCACTGTTATCCTCCCTTTTTGGAAAGTAAAGCAGCTTTATTAAAGCAGCTTTAATATTTATTGCATGCATGATTTATTGAAGGGACAGGGCATAATATGCGTTACTATATCTTAGATCAAAATGTAAGTACAAGGGTTCTTTACTTGGATTTTCCTATCAACTGAAATAATCTAAAAAATAACATAAAATATGGTTATAATATCTACTTCCCTTCGTTATATTGGGAACCCTTCAGAGCTCAGAGTGTCCTGAATTTTGATCAATAGTACATTGAAATTTACTGAATTAACTCTGTAGCTCTTATGTGAAGCACAAATTAAAAGAACAAGTTCTAAGAAAAAATTATTGCTAATGAATAACAGTTGGAGGTTTAATAAAGGGATGTGTTAAATGGAACCCCCAAAGGCCAACTTATTAAGTGGATAACCTTTGAATATTCTAGAATTAGCCAAATTCTCTGTAGTTACCCAAGCTTTTCTAGAAAGAAAAAGAACTAATAACAGTATGCACCAATCTGTTTAATGACAATTTGATTTTCCAAAAGTATCCTTATGGAATTTTTCCAACATACTTAGAAAAAATAGTATAGCTCAGTTATGTCCGGTATATTAAGCCTTAAGTGTGTGTGTTGCTTTTAGGTAATTTGGCAGGGCACACAGCTACATCTGCAAAAAGCTAAAATATTAATGGAAATTTTGACCTTGTCACATTACAGATTGGTTTGAAATTTATCATGTGTGCCATAATATTGGGCTTTTCTTTCAAATCAGAACATTTTTAAATGGAAGAAAGACAAATTTAAAAGAAAATATCTTGATTCACCACTTATGAGCTCAGGCTTTTATTTGAGGCTGCCCCATTGCCCAACACTGTGCCCACCAAGAGAGCATGTGCAGAACCCAAGGCATGGGTCCCATTCGTGAGCTCTACCTAGATGCTGTGCTGCCCATTGTCCACCAGTGGCACCAGCATCAAATCACAGTGGTGACGCCTTGAGTTCTTGTATTTGGCCAGTTGGCTGTTATCAAAATCCTTGCTTCAGTTTAAATTCACATAGCTTCTTTAACACTTACAACAAAAGAAAAAAATGTGTTTTGTACAGCATATGAAGTTTATTTTCTATATTTTCCAAACCACCTATAAAAAGTCAGCCATCATTTACATTTGCATCTAAAATAAAGATCATCACTTACATTTGGAACAGAATGACTATATTTGAATCTTCTTTTTTGATCATGGAATCTAAGTCAGGAAGGACTGGCTCTGTGTGTTTTGAGGTTGAGCATAATCTTATTACAGAATATAGGAAGAGGAGAGACGGTGCTTTGAAATGTCTCAGTTAGATTTATGCCAAGCAGAACCCCCAGATAAGGATCTGGGTACAGTCCTTTAGCTAGCAAATGGTTCCAGGCCGCAAGGTGAGGGATGACACTAGGGAGGGAGGTCAGCTAATGAAAGGAGCTGCTGGTGGCAACTAGGTCTCCATCCTGCTGGAACCCTCTGAAGGATGTGCAGAACATGCTCAGAATTCCCACCGAGTGACATTGGTGCAGAAGCTGGAGTATTTACTTATCAATTACTTCCTCGCTAGCTGAGTTACAGGAAACTGTACATTCAAAAAGGAACAATCTGCAGTGACTTACTAGGAAGGGAGAAAGGATATGGACAGGACACTGACCACAACAGGTGCAAGAAGCATAGCTAGAAACTAACATAAACATTTGGAAGTGTACTGATTGTTTTAAATTCAATGGCAGACTGCTCTGAATCCGTGTGCACACACAGGTTATCATCACAAAATCATAATGCAGAACCATGTAAACCGAACGCCTGGTACATTTTTATTTCTTCTTGGATCTCAACTCATCACCCATCAGAAAGAGGACAGAGTTGGTTTTAACCTAACTAAGCCAATCGTCAGACATCTATGTAGATACACAAATTCCCTTAGGATTTCTAAATAGAGCCTGGATCCGGATTTATAATTCCTTGTATTCTACATATTAACATTCCTTGTCACTGTTGTAAAAGTTAAAGAAATTTGTTTTCAACATCTACTTGGTCTGACTATGATGGAGGTTCCATGGGACGCCTTAGAGCCACATGCCTACCTTTGCTTCCATGTGAGGCTGCTCTCTTTGTGCACGATCATGTGTCTCCTGACCTTTGTGAATATAATTTTTACACTTTCCTTACCAGCTTTTTTCTATTTGTCTAAATAGATTTTGCACATTGCCATTCTTCTGTAATATTTTGTCCTTAACACCCAATCATCACATGTATTGATAAATAAGCAGAGAGACGAAGCGGTAACTGCTCGCACAGTGCCTTGCTGTGGTGTGTGCTCAATCACCAGCTTTTTTCTATTTGTCTAAATAGATTTTGCACATTGTCATTCTTCTGTAATATTTTGTCCTTAACACCCAATCATCACATGTATTGATCAATAAGCAGAGAGACGAAGCGGTAACTGCTCGCACAGTGCCTTGCTGTGGTGTGTGCTCAATACTTAAAGAAACGGAACTAAGAGAAGGTGGCATTAGCAGAACCCAATCCCTGAACTTCAAGGCACAAAGTGTGTTTGCTAAGCACTTGCTTGTGTACATCATGACTTTTATTACCTTTAGAATTCCCAAACGTCTAACCATCTGGTGGGTCACAGAGGCCAAAACATAGAGGAATTGAAGATAAGTAGCAAATTTATATATTTGGGGGATGGATAGTGAAAGATGAGTAGATGATGGAGTAGTTCTTTCTATCAAAATTAGAAAAGATAATCATTAAAGTGCCGTTTACTTAAAACATAAATCCCCATTGTCTTCTTAAGTGAGTTCTGAGATTAAAGAGGGAACAGGCTTATGGAGAGACCAGGCCATCAACCAAATACATCAAACTCTCAATTTGTGCCTAAAAAGGACTTTTTTTTTAAAGGTTTAAAATGTGAACATCTATTTGTCATGTTTTAATAGTTTCTGGAAACCCTAGTTCCAAATGGCTCCATTTTTCTGGGGCCACTTTTTTCTTTAGTAAACAAAAATGTTACTTGGTTTCTTTACCCGTTGTGAACCCGACATTTTCCATCTTCCTGGAATTACTTCTCCTGCTCTGGCTCCATGCGGAGTTATCTCAAGAGTTGGGGCACTCTTTCTGCTCTTTCAACATTTTGATTAAGTCCAAAATTTGAACATACCTCCTCACCTTTATGCTAACATGATGCTGCTGTATTATTAGGTCATTAGATAAATTTGGTGAATAACTTAAGGGAATTCGAGCTCAGAATACAAATCAAGTCAAAATGTAATTTCAAATGGTTGTTTCTGTTCTTGATTCTCAACATGGGGAAAACCTGAATTTCCTTTTTCTTGAGTTCCTTTTTGTGTGAACATCACTAATCCAGAATTTGCCCAGTCCTGCTATTTATGACCAGTAAGGTTATTAATATAATTTTTAAATATAAGCACTATCTACCCAGGTCTCTAGCATAAGTAGCACCAACAATGACCAGAAGACTTAAAATTAGACTTTTCTTTGATGCCCTGGAAGAAATGCTCAGCATGCCATTCAGTCATTCAACAGATAACTGCAGAGCAAATGCTGCTTGCCAGGCACTCATCCAGAAGCTGAGGGAGAAAGGAAATGAACAAGCCTTCCCTATGCTTCCCTTCGTACCACTAGTCTCTGTAAGTCTAAGGAACCAGAGGATATATCTCCAATGTCCACAACAAAACCTAGTGGTATTCTCCCCCTCTGTTTAAAAAAAAAAAAAAATCTAAAAAACGTATGGATTGTCTATCCTTTCCCCGAAGAATGAGATATCTACAAAGTCTATTATTCTGATAATGGTATAACTATACCAGCTTTCTTTTCATTGAGGTTTATATAATTTATCTTTTTTTGAGGTATTTCTTCTTATTTCCCATATTTCTGTACTGTTATATTTAAGATGTGTTTCTTGTGAGTAGTTATAGAGTTACATTTTGTTTTTTTAAATCCAATCTGACAACATTCATCAATTAGAGTATTTAGTCCATTAATATTTAATGTAATTCCTAATACAATGTGCTAATAGCTGTGATTTTATAATTTTTTATTTGTCCCACTATTTTAAGTTCTCTTTCTCTCTTCTTTATTGATTTATTTTGGATTATTTAAGGATTTTCTTTCCCATTTTTATTCTATTAGCTTGCCAGTCATACATTTTTTCATTGTCTTTGTTGTTACTGTGGAAATTGCATCCATTCTTGATTTGTTGCTGTCTAATATAAATTGCTGTCATTGCTGCTTCCCAAACAATTCTAGGACCTGAGAACACTTTTCTCTCCACTTACCTAAATTTTACTTTTGTGTTAATGTTCCTGTGTGTGTCATTTCTGTTATATTTTATATCACACATTGTCCTCCATATTTTTTATAATCAATATTATATTTCCCCATATGTATTTATGGACATTTAATTTATTAAAAACTTTTAATTTGTTCATTTCATGTCTTCATTAAAATTGAAACATCAAGGGGAATTTAACAAAAAATAAAAAGAATTATTAAATGAAAATTATTTTCTTAATTTCTTAAGTACCAATAAAATTCTGTTTGCTATGTCAGTATGAGCACTCGTGACAAGTGGTGGCATCCCTACCCTCGACGTAACTACCTCTTTTAACCTGTATTGCTAGCAAGTTGATAATACTACTAATTAGACAGAGCTGTTGTTTTGATTCAATTGGTTTCTAGGAATAGAGCTCCTAGAAGAATAAGGCACATAGCAAGTGCTCCTCAGCCTTAGTTGCCCTCCTGTTTTCCCAGAGTGTCAGGCATTAGACCTTTGCACTGACCATTAGTACTACCAAAGGGCCTGGCATTTCGTGGGCAGAAATGGATGTTTTCTGAATTGGGGAATAAATGAATGAATGAATGAATGAACAAATGATCAACACTCAGTTATGCCAGTTCATGGAGACATGCTTCCTACCATGTACTGAGGTCCCCGTGTAGGCACACACTGGGTCTCCTGTCAACTTTGCATTTGTCTTTTCCTGGAGCAGGCCAGAGGTGGGCTGGGCTGAGGGTCATACAGTCTTCATCAAGCTGCACTCCTGGCCCTCCCTTGGCTCCCTCGGTGGAAATTCCCCAAAGCCCCCAACCTGATGTGCACCAGGAGTGGACCCAGGAGAATGGTCCCCTGTTCCTGTGCACCTGGAAGCAAAGCCTGGCTTCCCCTCCACTCCTGCTCCCTCACTAGTTTGTTCAGAAGAAGAAGAAAAGAAAAGAAAAAAGAGAAAATGTGGGAGAAAAAAAAGATGTTTTACTGGACAAATCCTTGCTCATTGACACTGAATACCAGGTGCTAAACTTCACAATACCTAAAGAATATGATGTTTTCTACAAGAGACTAACATTTAAAATTACTCTAGAATGAACATAAACTTTCAAAGATTGCCCTTCTGTGATACTTTTTCTTAAAGAAACATTGTGTATTTTCCTTGAGGAGGATAAAAAAAGTCACTGTAACCTAAATTAAGTATATATTAAAAGAAGTGAAATATTGCATGCTGATCTTTGTTGTTACTGGGTTTACTAAATTTAGAGATTAAAAAAAAATACATGAAAAGCTCATATGCTAATAATTTCTTTGTGGTCTACCTGTAGTTTCTTATAGATGACATTTTACAGAAGCTGATATTTATGACTCTTTTTATAATAGTTCAGAATCATTAAAGGGGTTGGGTGTTCACCACAGAGAAAATTAAATATTTGAAAATATTTGACTATCTTATTTAGGAAGTGTGGAAGATTAGTTGACTTCTAAAGTGCAATAAAGATTGTATTTTATCTCTCAAATGAACAAGCAGGTGAAAATGAGTGTTTTCTTTCTTAGACTGACCACTGGTTTCTGGGCTTTTAATATTATTTCTGCCTCACCACTTTAAAATTAAAAGAGATAAATAATATCCTCAGGGAAATAACTTTGCCTCCCTTTATTCTCTATGCTGAAGAACACATACTTAGAACTCAATAAATAACATAATAACCTTAGAAAATTTGATTTTTTTTCAATATATATTTCTAGAATCTGTATTTTAAGTTGTCAGATATAGTCCCCAAATTGTTCCCACTACAAAGCAATGATGATTGCAAATATTCCTCGGAGGTCCCCTTAGTTATCTGAAGCATCTTTGTTCTCTCTTCCCCCTTGTTTTAGGAGCGGCTTCTGCTGTCCTTGCTGCCGGCTCACATTGCCATGGAAATGAAAGCAGAGATCATCCAGAGGCTGCAAGGCCCCAAAGCAGGCCAGATGGAAAACACAAACAACTTTCACAATCTGTATGTCAAACGACACACCAACGTGAGGTACGCTGCTCTGTCTGAGATCCTCAGCAAGTCTGGGGGTCGTTTGCCCAGCCAGGGACATTTTTCACTGGGAGCCCACGTCTCTCCTTTGTAACTGCAAGTCCTTTGCAAGTAGATAGTTACCATCACACTCACCCTTCTGCTGACTCTCGGGGCCTTCACATTAAGATAAGAAAATATCTTACCCAGTAAAGAGAATTGAGTTGTCCTTCATAGCCCTCCTTTCCATGGCTGACCATCAGTCACAGAAGGGATGAGCTGGACAGTGGAGTCCTTATTTTGGGAACTCCATGGAACCCAGGACAGTTGATACTGCAGTAGGATTGGAGGAAGGGTCTGTGGGCTCTCTAGGCACAAGCACTGAAGCTTCATGGTGGGTTTTGCAGGGGCAGTGCCTCTGTGAAGCTAGGGTGTTCCAGGGAAGTTGGAGGTTCCACTGTCCATCAGTAATGGTGGGCTTCTGGGGTATAACCAACGAGCGATCAAGGTCACAGGGGACTCCTGTGCATCAACTAATTCGTAGTGAAAGTTACTGCTTTTCCAGTAACTTTCCAAGACTGGCGTAGTCATATCTACTTCCCAGGGAGCCATTCCGGGAATCACATACCTAGAAAACTAACATGACATTTTCATGGGGGTGTAGCCAGGAAGGAGAATGGTGTGGGGCCTTTGTCACCCCTGAGCTCTAGAGAGGAACCATGAGGGGTCCTCACTTCAGGCTGGAGTGTGGGCTTCCTTCCATAGCCCCCATCTCTCCACCACTGTAGAGTGGTTCATCCAGACCATGGTGTTCTGTCCATCAGCAATTTCCGTGTCTCACCTGTTCCTGCTACCACTTCTTTTGGGAGTTTGTTCTTTCATCCATTAGTTATATTGATGTTTGTTTCCTGTTCTAACTGGGTTCTCTTGTAAGTAGCCTGTGCATGTATCTGGCCTCATTTGTTAGGTTTTGATGATATTAGTTTAGCTGTCAAAGAGGGTACTTGTTCAACAGTTCAGTAACCACTAGCACAACAACCAAACTGTTTAGCATCTGCTGGAACCAACATCTGACCTGTTTGCTCCGAGCTCAGACTTTCCACAGCATGCCACTGCTTCCTGGCCCAGCTGCTTCAGGTTCAGGTTTTTTTGAAGCTCATTAATTAGAAACAAGCTTAGGAACAACAAAATATCCTGAATATACAAAGCAACCCTGAGCAATAAATAAATAAATAAATAAATAAATAAAGCCAAGGGCATAACACTACCTGACTTCAAATTATACTACAAAGCTATAGTAACCAAAACAGCATGGTACTGGCATAAAAATAGACACTCAGAGCAGTGGAACAGAATAGAGAACCCAGAAATCAACCCACAGAGTTATAGCTAATTGATATTTGACAAAGGCAACAAAAACATACATAGGAGAAAAGACTTATCTTCAATAAGTGGGGCTGGGAAAACTGAACATCCATATGTAGAAGAATGAAACTCTAGTTTCACTTCTCACCATATATCAAAATCAACTGAAAATGGATTAGACTTAAGTATAAGACCTGAAACTGTAAAACTACTAAGGAGAAATATAGGAAAAACACTTCAAGAGCTAGGACTGGGCACAGACTTCATGAATGAGTGCCTCAAAGCACAAAGCAATGAAAGAAAAAATAAATAAATGGTACTATATCAAACTAAGAAGCTTCTACACAGCAAAGGAAACATTCAACAAAGTGAAATGACAATCTACAGAGTGGGAGAAATATTTGCAAACTATACATCCAACAAGAGATTAATATCCAGAAAATACAAGGAACTCAAGCTATTATACAGTAAAAAAACCAAATAATCCAATTAAAAAATGGGGAGAGGAGCTGAATAGACATTTTTCTTAAAAAGACATACCAGGGCCGGCCCGGTGGCGCACTGGATAGTGTGCCGCTTGGGAAGCGTGGCGGCGCTCCCGCCCGAGGGTTCGGATCCCACATACAGACCGGTTCCCGCTCACTGGCTGAGCGAGGCGCGGGAGCAACACCGAGGGTTGCAATCCCGTTGCCGGTCCCCGGTCCGGTATGGGGGCAACACTGAGGGTTGCGATCCATTGCCAGACACGGAAAAAAGACAAAAAAAAAAAAAAAAAGACATACCAATGGCAAACAAGCACTTTAAAAAATGCTCAACATCACTATTCATCAGGGAAATGCAAGTTAAAACCACATTGACATATCACGTCACACTAGTTAGACTGGCTATAATCAAAAAGACAGAGAATAACAAATGCTGGCAAGGATGTGGAGAGAAAGGGACGCTCCTACACTGTTGGTGGGACTGTAAATTAGTACAACCACTATGGAAAACAGTATGGAGGTTTCTCAAACAACTACAGATAGACGTACCATACGATCCAGGAAACACACTTCTGGGTATATACCTAAAGGAATGGAAATCATCATGTTGAAGGGGTACCTGCACTCCCATGTTTATCATAGATCTATTAACAATAGCCAAGATATGGAACCAACCTAAATGTCCATCAATGGATGACTAGATAAGGAAAATGTGGTGTATATATATATATATATATATATACACACACCATGGAATACTACTCCGTCATAAAAAAGAATTAAATTCTGCCATTTGCAGCAACATGGATGAGCTTGGAGAAATTTATGTTGAGTGAAATAAGCCAGGCACAGAGGGAAAATTGCCACATGTCCTCACTCATAAGTGGGAGCTAAGATGGAAAGAAGGAAGGAAGGAAAGACCACAGTGGTGTGTTGGACTTGCAGAGGGAGAGAATATACATAGTGTTGTGGAGTGGGGTGAAGGAAGGGAGGTGGGGGTGGGGGGGAGATTAGGGATTAGTTGGGTGGGGAACATGGGGAATAATTGCAGTTTGAGGTAACAGGCATGCTGATAGTATTGTTCTGGCCAACACATCTTGGGCACAAGTGGCAATGGTCAGCTTTGTACCCCATGAATATGCATAACCAATAAAATTTTTAAAAAAAGAAGCAAACTTGACTGCTGCTTAAATATATTTCTAGGGCAAATCTTATTTGACTTCAGATTTTAGAAAAAGCATATAAAGCTACTGATATACATAGCCTGAGCATACACAGATATAAATGTACAAGAAACTCATATCGGGAAGGAGATAGAAAAAAACGATTACAGTTAAGTAGAAACTAAGGAAGCACCATTGGATAAATGATAGAAAAAAACTAAATATATTTAAAGAAAGTTCACACATATTAAGGAGTAAAATTATTTAAAACACTGGTTTGCCTGTAGGTTTGCGAGCATTGTGCCTATAAAATTACATTCATGGTACCTGATGAGGTACACTATACTAGTGATTGCTCTTCCCAACCTTAACCGCCTGCAATGCCCCTTCCATCTCAGCACATATTTTTAAGTTATTTATTGGGTATTCAAAACCTGTAAAGATAAATGCAGCTGTATCTAAATGAGGTCACAGGATATATTTACGTAGCTGGGTTACAGTGCAGGAACAAATAGATCTGTAAAAATGACTGAAGATACCAACAACCTTGGGGAGTTAATGAAGGGTCCTCATGCTGTCTACATTAGCTATCAATTTTTGTGTGACAGATTACCCCAGAGCTTAGTGGCTTAAAACATCAATAACCATTATCTCACAGTGTCTGTGGGTCAGGATTTTGAAAGCAGTTTAGCCAGGTGGTTCCGGCTTAGACTCTGCCAGGAGTCTGCAGGCCATATGTCAGCAAGGGCTGCTGAAGGGTCTGCCTGTGAGATGGCTCCTCACACGTTGGCAGGTTTGCTCTGGCTCTTGACTGCAGGCCTCAGTTCTTCACCAGTGGGCTCTCAACGGGAGGCTCACTTCTTCCCACAACATGGCAGCTCACTTTCCTTGGAGCAGGGAATCCAAGAGAGAGACAGGTAGAAGCCACAGTGTCTTCCATGACCTAGCCTTGGAAGGTCATTTCTGCTATATCCTATTGGTTACACAGGTTAAGACATACAGGGGCATGAATACTGGGAGGTCAGGGTCATGGCGCCATCTTGGAGGCTAGGATCACAGAGCCATCTAGGAGGCTGACTACCATGCTACAGAAGGCAAGGGATTTGGGGAAACCACCCCGACTGCCTCCGTTTTCCTCACAGATTGTCTAGAATATGTTACTAGTATTTAAATTTTAATTCTTAAAATATATTTGGGATCCAAAGGAACTTAAATACCTAAAGCTTAAATGGCATGGTGTACAAATTCTTTTAAAAGAAGTATGAAAATGTATTTTCTTTTCATCCTGGAACAGGACAGGTTTAAGCAAAGAAGCTGACTGGATGCACGGGTAGTGCCCGGTCAATACCTGGGGGTTTGGGGGGTTTTAGAAAAGAAGTATCATGTCTGTAGACAGTACCAAAAAAATCAGTTGCTAACTATTGGTTCTGCTTTGAACATTCATCAACAAAATGTTTATTCTCTGTTAATAATACTTATTGGCTCTTTGCTATCTAAAGAAAATAATAATAATAATAATAATAATAATAATAATAATAATAATAATAATAATAATACATCATTGTAAAGGCAGCAAATACCAGTTGCCTCCTGAATCTTCATCATCTTTCTCTGAATTTTTCCCACTACTTTCAAAATATTTACAAACCCATCATATTTTTTAAAACAAACAAAAATAAATAAAATTAAAACAAATACACTTCCCTTAATTTCATGCCATCATCCAACTGTGGAATTACCTCTCTCTGTTTCGTAGCCCAAATTCTAGAAATATTTCTCCACACTCTCTGACTAATCTTCCTCATTTTCTCCCCTTCCTCAAATTTCCGCCCTCTGGCTTTAACCCCCACCATGCCACAGAGCCCGTTCTTGCTAAGCTCGCCAGCCTGCCTTGTCCCCACATCTGTGCGTGACTTCTGCATCCTCTTCTCACCGACCACGCCGGTGCTCTTGGCCTCATTAGTATCGCCCTCCGGCTTGAGGAATTCTCCCATCACCTGGTCTCCATGAC